TTAAGTAAACGTTTTTTCAGTTGGTTTCTTAAGTTTTACTCGAAAATCAGGCTTTTTTTTCGAAAAACATAAGAGAGTAGTAATTTGTAGAAAATTGAAAGACGAATCCAAAAATATCATGGTTATTACCGTAAAGTAGTGGTGAACTACTTTATTTAGAAAAATATACCACCACTACCCTGTAACTCCGCCACTGGAGCATGTAAATTTTAGAAAAAAGCGTCAGGTTTTGGACAATGTTTACATAAAAATATATGCCCAATTTCAAATTATTTCACTTACTAGTTTCTAAATTATTTGAAAAAGTTTAAAATATTTTTTGCAGTTTACACCCTGTATCTTTTTAATGAAGCGTCCTAGATAAAAACTTTATAGGAAAGACTTCCCTTAAAATTTACCAAAGAATATGAAGTTTCATTTTTGGTCAACATTTGTGAGTCACCCCGTACAAGAGTAAGATTCGTAACACGATGTACCAATTTACTAAAGAAAATCTCGGCGAAAGTATTTATAGTTAAATCAATATCGGTGAATACAACTCGACATTTGTTTTCATAGCAGCGACATGAAATGAAAAAATAATTAACTCTACAACATTTAAACGGTGTTTATTTGATTTTACGTAATACTGAAAATTAAAAAAATGATAAATTGATAAGAGGCAAATTATTATATTTAATACAAATAATGATATAATATTCAAGGAAAGTATTAATATTTTTTTCGTTGTACAAATACCATTTATATAGAAATTGCACTTTATTTACGAAGCTTAAAATCCTAATCGCTCGCTAGGTATAAATCTGGGTTTTTTTACATTCCGATTTACGTATGTATACGTTATACATTTACTTGTCTCAGACTATCTAAAAGTAAATTAAAGTTGGCTTATTGATCTTTTTTTAATCGATTTCAATAATATTAGCTGGTGATTTGAACAATTGTAGTTTCCGTTGATTAACTACAGGGATTTGAAATAACAATAGCGATTAAAACCTCAATAGTGAAAAGGAAAAACATGATATACTCTCAAAAGATTAAATAGAAGCTCGTGATTTAGAAAATGAATAAAATCGTAGAAGCTATCTATGAAGATAAATTTTATAGTTTGCTATGACCCTCTAGATCTAGAATTAAGGAATTTCAGTTAATATTCGAGAAATATATTACTCGTTCAAATGTCACTGCAACGTTATTTAATATAACGTTTAATTTTACATAAAATCCGAAAATTGATTGGTAGTCCAGACCGTATCTGTTGCAAAAAGCCATATTTGGGTGAATCGTATATACACGGAGATTTTTGGCTTCTTGGCTTTTAAATATCACTAGAAATGAAAATTTTTCTATGCCCATAAAAAAACGAGGCTTAACTTTAAAATTCGAAAAATGTCATATTTTTCTTCCTACTTAATTATGTATCTTTTCAAGAGTTGATTTTAGGCGAAAATTGAAGAGGAAAAAAATGTTTGTAATTAAATTTTTTACAGAACATGACTAGTTACGAATCGAATGAATCATGATTATTATGGTAAAAATCGAAAAAATCGCAAAAATGGGGTTAAAACAATACTTTTTAGGGAATTTATTTGGGGTATTTAAATTGGGTATAGGACCTTTATACTTGGCCCAAGAAAACTTCATGTTATGTAGAATCATCACACCAAATTTCATCAAAATCGGTTCGATAGATTTTGCATAATAATTTTGCAATCCAGATTTTGAAAAAAAAATTGCAAATTTTCAAAATTTTGCACAGCAAAAACCAAGGCCCTTAGATACTTGAAAATTTAATCACATATAGAAGGGCTCTCAAGCTTTCAAACTTTTTTTGAAAAATTCGAATCCGTCAATTAGGAGAGCTCTGGCGCTTGTTTAAACATTGGTCGAATTTTTGTACTTATAAACAATTAGAACTTTGTGAATATTCAATCAAATCAAATTTTTTAAAGCAGGTTTTAAAAGTTCTTGGAAAGAGACTTCTTAAAAAAAAAACAGATCGATTGGTCAATTAGTTACGTAGTTATAGCCGATCAAAGTTAACCGTCATTTACACTAAACGTACTGGGACATCCGGGCTAATTTTTCGAAAAATACCTTTGGTATTCCGTGTACTTACCAGGTCTAAGATTACAATACTTTTCTTCATTGGCAACCTACTTTAAAACGTGTTTAAAGTTATTTATGCAAACGAGAAATTCGAGAAAATCGTACGGGTGGTGGTGGTGGGGGAAGCAGAGAGCGCGGCCGCTTCGGCCTGCTCGAAATTTAATCGGCGAGTTCAAAACCGCGATGCTCTTAAAAATTTTTAATATCTCACCTTCTAGAGGTCCGATTTTGATGATTTTTTTTTTTAATTTTAGCATGTTTTCAAATGCATATCGTTAATAATTATTGGTCTTTCAACAGTCCGATAATTATTTATCTTTAAACTTCCATTACTTATCAACTTTATTTTTCTATTGTATCAAAGGTAAGTGCATAAACTAGTACTTCCAAATGCAAAGTTGTAGGAAGTAACTTGATTAAGAAAAATTTACAAATAATTTTTTCCGGTGTTGCCAGATGTCTGCAGTAGCTACTAAAACGATTTTTTTTTAAATTAGTAAGTGAAATAATTTGAAATTGGGCACATGTATTTATGTAAACATTTTCGAGTAAAACTTAAAAAACGAACTGAGAACACACTTCGATATTCGAATATAATGCTTTTTAAAATTACATAGTGGGCTGCGATAGCAAAGCAACTTTGACATTTTGAGCAGTTAGGAGAAAGAATAAATAATGCTTTTCATCAGATTCAACAATAAACTTCGAACAAATTACAATTTCGTTACTAAAAAGATATCGGACCTGTATTCGTGGAAATGGAGGTATTTTTGAGCATTTACACAAATAAAATCATTAAAATGATGCACAATGACAATGCGTTCGCACACTCAGCTTTGTTAATTCGTCAGTTTTGCGCAAAAAATCAGATTACTGTCCTCCCTTACCCTCCTTACTCAGACCTGGTTCCTTTTTTCTTAGTTCCGAAATTAAAATCAGTGCTGAAAGAACAACATTTTCAGGCTATTGATGACTTAAAGCAAATTCGTCACAGATTTTAAAGGCCATTTCAAATGAAGTTATTCACGACTGCTTCACTGGGAAAAGTGCATGAATAGGGGAGGAAAGTATTTTCAAGGAGACAAGGACCAATAATGTATAAAATTAATAATAAAGTTTAAAAAAATTAAATCGATTATTTTCTGAACAGACCTCGTATATATTCGTCATTCGATAAAATGTTAATCACTGTGAAACTAATATTAAATAGGGAAATCACCGCCAGAACAATTTAACGGTAGGTAAGACTACTTTACAGAAATATACCTATAATTTCTTACAGGCATATATAATTTTCTCAGGAGTGAATCTATGAAATTAGCTATCATTACTAATTAATTGTGATTAATAATATATCCGGAGTGGTGAAAAATTTCCCAGGAAAAAAAGAAGAAATTTCTTTATTGTATATGCCCTTATTTCCCTATTTAACATATCAGTCAGAATAGTATTCAGTATTTTCATGAACACAATGAACTATTTAGTAAGAAACTAGTCAAATGTGATTTTTTTCTCATTAAAATCGTTTTTGTACTTTTTCAACTAGCGGTTTACACAAGGCTGACAATGGCAGATCCTTAAATATGTATTATAAACTCATTTTTCAACCACTAAGGTTAACCCTGATAACGACAATTCTAATTAGCATGGCTAAAACATATTTTTGCAGCAAAGAGAACTCCATTAAGACAGTGAGGAAGCACTATACAGGATTTATTTCATGAAACTAGATTATATCAGGTCAATATATCTACTACGAAATCCCCTTGGTTTTCAGGGTCAATAGACTTGTCAGTTTTGTGCTATGTTGAGAGTAAATAAATGTAAGAACCTTTGTTTGTCTACAAAAAATATATATTAGCCTCCTTGAATATAAGTACTGGATCATTTTAATTTGTTGCGTTTTCTGAAACTTAATATCACAATCAAAACGTATCGAATACATTTAAGTAATTATATTGCGGGAAACAAGAACTCAGCCAGCTATATTGTACAATTAGCATAGAATTATACCAGCAATATTACGAACTGTTATCCACTCACCAAAACTCATCATTAGTTTCGCGAGTTAAAAATTGTTTTCGATGCGCCAAAGAAAATTATTAAGAAGCTATAACGTTCTGTATAAACATTCCTTTACTTGTTTAAACTAATATTTATGCGAATTTAATTATAAATTGATATAAACCAATTTAATAACGCTACTATAAAAGCTGTAACTACTAAACATGCTATAAAGAAACTATTGATGATAATACGACGATCCAGAAAATTAAAATATGACCTTGTCATACCATGAAAGATAAAATTCAAACTCTTCGAAATAGTCCATAAAATATCGAGTACATTTGGAAAAGTGATAAAAATAAGTCGTTACCGATTTGTAACAGCTATTTTGCAATATTGGCAACAGATCGCAGTTGTTTTAAAGATACTTTGTTTGTTGGAGAACTGTTTGATCAATGCCTATTTAAAAATCAGGAAAACAAGCTAAGTGAGCAGAGACCTAATACAATTATCTGTTTTAGCATGCTCACAAATAGATAAGTTATTTGAAAAATATCCCGAAGATTACAATAATTTAAATGTGTTTCTGTATCTCCTGATAAAACTGTTACAGTTACACAGCTTTCTCATCAGCTGGCGAATTTCAGTGGCACTCGATCGACAAATCCAACACGGTAAATGCATTACCACCTAAAAACCTTCACTTTCGAGCTCTAACTTTTATTCAACGGCGAAGATCAAGTTCGCAAAAAATATGCCAACGAACTCTATTGTACTTTTACTCGCAAAAATATTCGGATCCCAGAAACGTTCTAGTGGCTTGCGAGCCGTCTCGCGGAATCATTTTTTCGTGCGCGTGTAGTGTGAGGTAGGGGCGGTTATCTAGTACGATATCGAATCAGATTCGGATAAGAATCGATGTTAAATACTGCAGTGGATCACAATCAGCGTCCAATAAACGGTGGTCAGAGGCGCACAGGCGGTAATTAACAGAACAATTTTTTCTCCTCATTGGGCTATTATTTGAAGAGGTAGGCGTGCAGATTTCGGTTCAGTTCAGCTGATCTCTGTGTGGGTTCTGGCGGTTCCGAGGGGGCGAACTGCCAATAGTTCACCGGGAGTTGTCCTAGGAAGCAGTTTGAAACTTATACAGTGCGTTACATCAACAGTGACAAGACATGCACGCTGCACCCGTGATCTGTCTCATTGCCGTTCTCCTGGCAGCAGGTGAGTCGATCTATTTCAGCGATTTCAGTACCTTTTTGGCGTTTTATCGACGCGGTAAGCGACACTGCGGTCTCGGTTAGCAGCGAAACGCGATGTTCCACTTTACTCTTTTATCTTGTGATAAAAAAATGTGGAAATTCCGTAAAACAAAAATCCAATAATTTGACATACAATTTTAAAAATGTTTATTACCTTTTAAAATTCTTCGAGAAATATACAAGATGTTCATGGATGGAGTTGAAAAGAGGGAAGAAGAGACTTTTTTATTTTTCGTTTTATGGAAAAAACTCTTTTGGGTTGAAAAATTCTACTTGTGTATGTAAATAGTTATTTTTGATGCTAGACTGTGAAATGCTACTTTTGCATTCGAGAATGAATACCATTCGAGAATGCAAAAGAAATTCTCAATCGAGTATCAAACAATTTTTCGAAAAGTGTATCCCACAATTCAAAAATTATTAAAAATGTGAAGAAAAAATATGCATATGTCATCTACAATTTAGGTATTGCACATATTTTATATTTATATATTTATATTTATATTTATAATTAAATTGGTTATTAATTACCTATTGTTATAATTTATAATTTTATTGATAATAACAAATAAAATTTAGAATTCATTGATTTTTCTGGGTAGATGTAAAAGACTTTTACGTTCTGTAGATAAAAACTGTTGTTTTGATACCTAATAAATATCATGTAAAAATTAACTAATTAATTGGATCAACTCTGCAAAGAAAAGATTTAAAATAAAATAATTGATTTTATCCCTAACTACGTTAATAAATAATTAGCACATAAACATACAACCATTTTCCTGGCTTTAATATGTACGAAGTGTTGCAGGTCTTTTTTGCCGTAGGTATTAACAATTTAAAAAATTAATTAAAATTTTGGCATTAGGAAATATTCCTATATGATTAAAAAATAATTTTTAACATATTTTTATTTTTAAAAACTAATAAATAATTAAAATTATGAATCAAAAAAATAATTTTTGTGTAGATAAAATAAAGGTATGGAAAAAATCAAATTTTATTGAAGAAATTTGTTTTCAATAAAAAATTTTATATTTCAAATTTTTAGTACTGATAAATTACTGAATTGCAAAAGTAAATTGCTAACAAATTTGGAACAATAACAAACATTTTAATATATTGTCTATATATTTATTTGTTATCGTATTTAATTACTTTTTTATTTATTTTAAATGGATATTTCTGACACACCAAAACATTTTTTTAAATAAATAACTGCGCGAAATCAAGATATATCTCGAACTGAGAAATAGATAATGAAACACATTACACAGTTTACGTTTCGAAAATTTCTCTATTTTCGGTATCAAAACTTTTTAAAAGTCAAATGACTTCTTAGTTCTTCATAATTAAAAATGCACTATAGATTTTTTGACCAAGCACAACCATTCCTCAAAATGTGAAATTTCAGTTCAATTTTTTATTTCTGTCACTGTAAGTGTTAAATGTTGAAAAAACTATTTATTCCTTAATTAACTATCACAGTGTGGTATGGAGTTCTAAGAGTTCTGTATATTTGGATCAACTTAAAACAAAATCATTTAAACTTTAAACAGAATTTTGTAACAATAATAACTTTTTACCATGATTAATACAAATATGAAATTCCATCCGTGGACACAATGTATATTAACCACATTTTAATTTTTAATAAACAAGAAACATCGTAAAATTATAAGAGAAATAAAGTATATCCGTAAATTTGTAGTCGAATTAATATAAATTTTTTCAAAATATGAATACTAATGTAATAATAATAATATAAATAAATGAACTCGAATGTTTACTACAAGAATTCATTCCCTAAAAGCTGGATAATTAAAAAAACTTTGGCTATCTCTAAATTTTCACTTTAGTGATAGAAAGGTTTTAGGTAGAAAATTTTAAATATATTTTCACAGACATTTTTCTAAAAATAAAGTTACAAACAAGCCCTAAGAGATAAAAGATTTGATCTGTTTTTATTATTTCTGTCACATCTAAAAAAAATAACCCCTTGTACCAAAATTGTCAGTCAAAGGATTGATTTTATAATTTAGTTTTGCCTAACCACAGAGAAGTTCGTAAAACTCTAATTAAAATAAAATATTTTTTAGGCGAAACTAAATTTATAAAATCCATTGACAGAAAAATAAAAAAACATCATATTAGGTACCTATATCTTTTTAGATGTAACGAAAGGTCTTTGTTTAATTTTGCATGAAGAAATATTTTATTATTTAGCAGATTAACAAGGTTAACTGCAAACATCAACATATTCTTATATTGCAGGCACAATAAACTATATTGATTATCTCAGAAATAAATGCCGAAGGCGATTGTTGCGCTGCACTTTATTCCATAATATCATGTAAATATATATGACGTATTTACAATAATTTTTTTATTAATAGTTTCATCTTAATCACATAATTACCGATTAATGATTATATTATATGTTTTAAAATATATTTATACTCTTATTCCATTGATTTAAAAAGATACGGGTTATTGTTTACACGTCAGAACTGAGGTTTATGTGACTCATATAACATATCCAATTATAAAAATAAAATATCGATATCTGATATCTACAGGATGTCTTTGAGGAAAACGTCGCTCCTAGAAAGCTTAAAATAGATATCGGAAAATCCAATTCCGTTTACTTAAATTAAATCAAATGTATTATAATTCACTTATCAATTAAAGTAGGTACGTCTAGATTAATAAAACTCGCTGAAAATTTTCCGAATCATGTGACATCTATTGTTTCTATCTGGTCATATGATTCGATGAACTTTTCATAAACAAATCCCCCGACGTGCTGTTATTCATTAAGTTGTATCTTGTGGCCATATAATTATATTGTTTGGATTGCATGGGCCAAAGGTTAATATGAATGAATGTGCAAACACGGGTCGTTGTGATTTAATTTTGTATTAGACACTTTGATGAAAGGATTCGACTAATTTCCTTTCTACACGATGAAACATGGGATTTGAATTTTTATAATTTTATAAAAACTTGCTAATAATCGTTTATTTGCTAAATTTATGACTTATCTCGAAATTTTATATCTTCCAAGTTATATTTCTAATAAACGTAAGCTTTAAAATCGCTTCCATCCTGTATAAAAAAAATATTACGCGTAATGACAATAAAAGCAAATAAAGCAATAAAATAAAATTTTAAACGATTTACTAGTCGGCTATAAATTTCTATTTTCTATCAATTGATGCTATAAAGATCGTATCTAAATACTTATTTATTTATGTGCATAAAATTGTTTACAACTATCACTAAAATTCGCCTTATAAAATCGTACCGAGAAGAAATCTTCAAAGTGCGATACATCGCGAGTCTCATTCCATCCTGCACAATAAACAATATTTTCTTATTGTTCTTCGAGTTGTTCCCACGATTTTTCCATTAATTCCGCCAGAAACAAGAATAAGGCTTATCTTACAGTACATTGAAGTATGTTTGCTCGCATGAGGTACTACAGATCATGTAACCTAATTAATATATAAATATTTATTTCCATCTTGCTTAATTCCTAACCGGCAATTCACCTTGTATCATTTTCTAATTATTTGAAAAATATAATATATAGGGTGTTTCTGAAAAAAGTGCGTTCCTTGAAAAGGGTGATAGAGAGTACGAAAATAAGCAACTTATTAGGCAACTGATGGTCTTAAACATTACGTTTTAAATTGAAAAAACATTTTCAAATGAAGGTGTAAACAAATTTAAAGCAGTCCCTGATGCGTCAGCCAACTGTTCCTTTGATATTGAAGCTGCCGCGCGCCGCAGGGGGAAAGTAGTTTTGACTGTTTAAATGTTGTGCTCGAAAATGCTGAAATTTATTCAAATCTCAGTTAAAAGTAACACAAATATTAAACGAATAAACGAACTACTTGCCAATAGACTATATGGATTAATAAACATGTCAAGTCTCATTTAAATTTTACTAACATAAACACCATATGCCGGCTAAGTAATACTGCAACACACAACTCACGTGCACAAGATGCGCAGTGTCGGTTTTCATTTATGGTTAATTTTCTTAATTACTTTTCTCAGAAACACTTATTTCAGAAACACCCTGTATAAAAAATAAATTAAGCGAAGCTGCATAATTCGTTGAGGGGAAGTGTTAAATATTTTAAATTCCCCCATTCGGTTCCCTAATTGGTTTTATTATTACTTAACTAGAACCCGTGTTTCATTCAAAATAATAAAAATCTGTCTATCGGCAGCCTTTACCTTTACCTTTAACTTTGCGCGATTAATTTTATATAAATATCTTTTTTGCTACGATTCTGTTGCGGTTGCATAACCTTTGAATTAAATTAGATACTATGCCCATTCTCGTGTTTTTGTGGTCAAAATTTTCTTATGAGATGAGTGAATTGTTAAAATTAATTGAAATAAATTTATATGGATTTACTTAATCGTAAATATTTAAATTAATATTTTTATGACATTACAACACAATTACATTTTTTGTTAAGTATTCATTTAAATGACAATTCTTAAAAACGTAGATTCTATTAATCATAAATAATATTTTATGTATGACATAACTTAAACTATCGTTTAGTAGATTTTTCAGAAATTTGTTATGGTCAGAAAACGAATCTGTTTTATCTCCAGATGATGACAACGTCACTTGCGAAAGATCCGTTAAAATGTTTCGACACATTTTTCTAATGATTCTGTCCACTTATGGAGGTCGATATATACCAAGACTTAGGTATATAAACATCCGTTTAATTGACTTGATTGTCCTACAACAAGAAATAATAGAATAATTTATTTAGGTTGTGTGTACGAGTATTTATCTTACACAAGGATAAAAAGTACAATCAAGCACTTGTTAATAAGATCTTTTTATATACTTAACCTCAAGCTATAAGTGGAACGGTAACATTAGAAAAATTGATGACTGTTATCTTTTATATTAAAAAAAAATCTCAA